TGTTAAAGCCCGCGGATTATGCGCACGGATTATGCCCTCTAGATTTCCTTTCTTAGTTAGCGAACCCTAACGCGATACCAAATCGGGCGCGGATTGTGCATAATCCGTCGCCTTATATTGGTTAGGCTTCTGTCTGAGAAGCGGCTGATGGGCACTCAAATCCTTGTCGCGCAGCGTCGCGAAGCTTGCTGCGTACTCGTCTTCTTCCATGCGCGCAATCGCCGCGTACTTCTCGGTCGCTTCATCAGCCATAAGTGCGTCCCATTCCTGCTGCGTCAGTTTGTGGTCTGCGGCAATGCCTTTGGCAATATATGGGTTGATGCCCTCGGACATGGCTTGGAGATCCGGGTCGTTGACGTTCAAGACTTGTGGCAGTGTCTCGTGGTTAGCGTCGACAAGTACCAGCCCGGCAATGTGATGGCCATTCCCTGTTAGCGCAATGAATTCGTTGATCAGTACGCCGGCCCAAGAATGACCGACGAGGATGAGAGGATTCTCGAAGGGAACGTTCTCGACAAGGTATTGGATATCTGTCGCAATATTCTCGGCTGTGGGCGGGTACGGAGCGCTGTCGGATAACCCATAACCGGCGCGATCGTAGGTGAAGCAGCGCATGGATGCAGAGAGCTGTCGCACGACGGCTGACCAGTTGAGCCTGCTGCTTGCGACACCAGAGACAAACAGTACCGCCGCATCATGAGGATCGGCCGGTTCCGGGCCGTAGGTGTATAGCGCAAGGGAATGGGTGCCATCGGTTTGCACCATCCTTACACCAGCGTGATCCGCGGTAGTCATCGTGTGTAGATCGTGTCGCGTGCTTGTCGTCCAGGGTCTTGAAGTCGTACGTGAAGAGTCTCAAGACAGGTGGTGACGGGTTTTCCTTTCGAACGCGACAGCGACCTACGCTTGCTTAAGTAGATGCGAAGTTACAACATATTCATCGACACCGCGCGGCGTAGTCTCACCAGGGCAGGATGTGCGGAAAGAGTAAGGCGCCACCTCGCTTGTGGATCAGATTCATAAGCAAAGGGCGCAGCGCCCTCCGCGACCGTACGAACGACAAACTCGAGCCGGTTTCAAGCTCAAGCGACTCCTGTACATAGCCAGGCGGCCACGATTCGCGGTGGACAACTCATTCCATGTAGATTTGACCAAGGACTGCTGCGCTTGGCAAATGCTTTGTGTCGCGCGCGCTCGTGCATGGAATCTGTGTGCAAGGTACGACTATCAGATTTGGGAGTAGCGATCTAGTGCTTTCTTCGAACGGACGACGCTTGAGGGTGGTAGGAGAAGTATATGTCACTGCGGCATGATGTCTGCGACGAAGCGGGCAACGGTCGCAGCCCTCCACCGATATCGACGCCGAACGCGTGCAGGGCGAGAAGCCCAATGGTGATAAAGAAACATTAGGTTGAGGAAGTAACGACGCGCTCTACAATGCGAATGCGCGTGTCGTCGTATCCATGTCCCGCAACAGCTTGCGCAGCCATTGTTCACCTTTGTGGTACTTGATACGGCGCACATTCTAAACACATTTGTCCTAGATTATGTGCATCTCTCGATGGGATGCTAGCACCAGCGGGCCGTCCCAGGCATACATTACCGCTCGAGAGGCGGAGTGGCGCCGTGCTGGGATGGGTTTCAAGCGAGTCTTCGTGATGGTATAGTGCGCGTCTGCCGACATCGTGTGCGGTCGTTTCATAGGATGGGATTAGAGATGCGGGGACCGGCGTCAGGATGGGGAATGCGTTGATGAGTAAACATCTGCTACTGCGATACGTCAGTCGGGCCCTGGGGCAGCGCTCGGGTGGGGACGCTTACGTTATACGGCACAGCGACAGCGATGGGCATACAAGTGTCGCGCCGATCTTGTTGCAGTAGGAGGATTAAGGATTGTGAGAGACGATGTCGCCCTCATTCACGGTGCTACGAGGAGTTGGTTGGAGGATGCGCAGCGGTGGACGGTTGCGCGCGTGGATGGTGCATCATGTTCAGCTGGCTCGCCTGCGCCAGTTGTTTGATGGCGGAGGCATCAAGGCGCGATGCGAGAAGGAAGATCCCACGTAATTCTGGAGACGGAGGGGACGCTGTAAGGATCGTGTTGGTGATGTCGCGGTGGGTGTGCCCCCACACCCCGAGGAAGCTTGGCGGTACTGTATCGCCGAGGCAGCCAAGCGACACCAGCTATCTTCTGCACCAAACGTCACACAGCTCCGATCCTCACGCAACAGGTCAAGTTCCAGCGATGTCACCTTCTGTATCGCATCACTATTGGCAACTCTACAACGAGTTCATAACAGAATAGAGTTCATAGTGTACATCGGTCAAATCAGCGATTTTAGGCTCTTTCTGGGATGCGCCCGCGGAGGTGCTCACGACTGACGTCCAGCAAGTCGCCAACGTGGTCAACAAATGAGCTCATGTGGAACTTTGTTTCGAGGCCTCAAGAGCTCACGGGGATGGACTATGCTACAGCTGTCAAGGGGACTTCGCAGCTCCCCGGGAAAGCTGTACCAAAAGACTGCGCGGTGCTACCGTGGGAAGTTCAAAGAGTCGGATTTCGCACCGTACAAAGCCGAAACCATACCTACTCGGATTCCCTCGCGGTGTGTTTCGCGATTGGTGTAAGACGAGAGTTGTGTTGGTGTTTTACGGCGCGAAGCATCAATACCCTGCGTATTGGTGTGTTTCCATGAAGGCTTCCGTGACGAGTCCCGAGGACATCTGGATAGTCTTCATTCGCTGCACTAAGAGAATGACTGCTTCGAGGATGTGGGACAGCATCGTGCGATGGAAAGGACCGCGGCAAGAAGCACTCGAAGAGCATGCAGAAAGGCGAACGCTTCATTTCCATAGCTTCCGTGCGAACGTGCAGCTTGACCGGTGTGATGGTATTCGGCGCTTTGGTGACCAGGGTTGTGGTTACAACGTCGGCCGAGTGAACTCACATCCAGACCGCATTGCTGGAGTGACGAAGACACAAAGGACGAGATGTCAGAAGGCAATACTTCACGGCGCAGCAGCTATTTCCCATCTGGAAGTTGATAACGTTGCCAGGCCACTGACGTAAACCTGCAGTGTGCTGGACACAAACATCTTCGCGTTCGGCTTCGTCGCATTATTCCACTACAGAACGGGCAGTCGCGCCGATATTTCGCATGGTCCTTGAAGATGCGCATGAATTCCCCGTATTAACATGCTAAGTTTAGCATTGTCGGGTCAGCGCGGACATTGCATGCTATTCAACGACCGTGAGCTGTGTACTACGGGTAAAGAACCCGTACTACGGATGAAAAGCCGGCGGGTACTCACGTGAACTTCGCACAACACGTGCGAAACCTTCTAGAAGATGAGGTCGAAGGCTTGTCAAGCGGGAAAATGATTATCTCCACAAGGAATATCTCGCTGAACCTATGTTGAGTACGCCTCGACACTAGACTCTGGGGTTGATGGAAAGACTCTGCGCAGGTGCAGCGAAGAGTCGACGTTGTCTCCCTTCGGACCGCTGCTCCACGATACGAGATAATGTGGCTCGCCCGATATATTTACGAGATGATCATCGGAATCGCGGTGGGTGATGGACGTTTGCGGTGTGGCATGACTGCAAGGCTTCGAGAAACGAGGCGGTAAACAAGTCTACTCGCGCCGGTTAGCTTGAAGGCTCCTTCCCCACAAGTCTGCAAGGAAGGACTACACGAAAGCGAAGTATAGCGCCGCTACTAATAAATTGCCTCCAGTCTGATGTCCGTTCAGCGGTGCACTTCCTTGTCGCCAATCTCCAATGTAACCCCGTATAGATATTTCGAAAGCACAAGCATCAGCCGCATTGACGCCCCCCGAAATAGACGAAAGCTTGTCATTGCACTAGACAACGGCGGACGTAGACTGACCTGCGTATATAAACGTTGAAGGGCTTCCGTCAAGTACTCATTACACAGCATCCATCCATCTCTTCACAACAAGTTTAACTCATCTCACCCACTTTCGCTACCAACCCACGAATCAACCATGAAGTTCGCCATCGTTGCCCTTTTCGCCGGCCTTGCCGCCGCCGCACCCACCGCCGTCCAGGAGGACCAATTCGAGACCGTTACCGTTAACAACGCCTCGTATGGCGGTCGCGACGAGACGTATTTCTCGTTCTACGTTCACTCTCAACACGTTGACAACGTCCACTGCGCTGCCAACCCTAACTTCCGGGTCGATACCGTCTACAGCTGCGACGACTCTTCATACACATTCCGCGTCTTGCAGGTGGACGGCGGCATCTATCTGAGATTGGCCCACGTTCTTAACGGGTGAGTTATTCGAGCGATTATCGGGTGGGGAGAACACGTGCTGACATAACTTTAGACCTTCCATGGTGGGCGACTTCATGGTCAGGATGAACGGACCTATTCCTATTGCCCTCAGCCAGGTCGGCACTGCCACTGCCGACTTGGACAAGGAGGGAACTGCTTAGACGATCAGTGGACTACATAGTGAGGGATCTCGCAGTCGATCAGACCCGTAGCTATAATGATAATGTTTTTCTGGATCATCCAAACAATGCAGACTATAATCCATGTGATGTTCGCATTGTGGGAAGCAGATCACAGTCGTCCTGAGGCACATGCGCGTGCTCTTCTATCGACATAACGACATATCGTTCACCTGAGCCAGCGAAGTATACCATCACATGTTTGAGTCTCCGACTTGACGATCTGACTGGTTGAGTACATGAACGTATCAGTCTCGCGCAATGCGGCGAAGACGTGCGACAACAGCTGGTTGGCATTACCTGCAATGCCCTTCATATCATGGCCCGACGCGTTTCGAGAGCATCATGTCCGAGGTAACGCTCCGTATTGATATGGCCTGCTTATGTGTCGGGCCGGGCTTTCCTATAGGACGGCGCTGGTAAAGTATGTGTTCACGACGATGTACCGACCGACTTGCTGGCTGGACGGCCTAGATCAGACTAGCAGCTCTCTGCGGATGGGTGTGATACTGGAAGCGCACGAGCGCAACGAAGCGGTTGGACTAAGGGTATTGTATCTCGGGCGGGAGATGCTCTCTGATCGCGTCGTCAATTCGTCGTCGCAAGAGTGCGCGCACAGTTTGCCGTGTTGACATGGGCAGTCGCGCTTGGGCGTGCTCGTGTGTGCGCGGATGTTGAGACAGGTATTCGCGACGCGTGATAATCTTGTGGCATCTCGATGAACTGGCTGCGTGTATTCGTCTGCGGTGCGGCGGGTGGTGGGCACAGCTACGGTGCTGTTGAGGACGTGGAGGCTTGCGGCGATGCTGCCGCCCGGAGATACGCTTGCAGCCTGCCCGGAATTAAGCGACAACGCGCCTCGGCCCGCCCATCTGCGCGCCACCCTCACGACGCCCTCAACATCCACCCGCAACGCGCTGCCCAAACGTTCGCCTCTGTTCAGCATGCTGGCGTCTACGAGTCGACCTTTCGTCAAAGTATCCCTCCCGGTCAAGACTAGAGTCATATCTCCATCATCCTGTCCGTCGATGCGCTCTTGCGATACCATTCGGCTTCCTCGTGCTCGCCGTGGTCTCGAACGTTTATCCCTCATGAGCTTGACGCAACAACTGGCGGTGTCGAGCTGTTGGCCGGTCTCATAGCAATCGGGATACTCTAGCGGGTTCTGTTCTATTCGTACACGTTTTCATCGAGGCGATGAGCAACTTCCGACGTCTGCCTGGGACCCTGCAGGCATCATGTAGTCTGGGCTGCATACCGGTGATCCAACAACAACGTCGCAATGTTTACACCGCTTGGTACATATGGCCAAAACATCGGTACGCCCATACGGACCTGTTGTGGGGGACATGGGAGGCTGTGAAGCCAGTGGGACCACTGCATGATCGCGATCCGTCGCTGATGCACGGCTGCTCAGCTAGGCCAGCCATCCTCGGGGCCACTACATGCTCGGAGGGACTACAACCAAATGAGCTAAACAAAATCTTCATCATCGTTGCACCAGTGTACGTTGGGTTGGAAGACATCAACTGGACTCTTGGTTAAATTGCTGGTAGCGCACGCAGAATCTTGTACCATATTGCGACCGCGCTGCAGCACGCATATCTCAGACTGGAAGCTATGCAGCTGTCACATTTGAGTCAAGAACTGTACATTCAACAGGGAGCGATGTTGTTCAATGCCCCCGCGGGTCGGTCCAGGGAGAGGAAGGCTCGGAGACTCCGATACCTCGGCACTACATGTACTTCCGACAACCGACAGCCGTGAAAGTCAGTACGCCATTCATTTCCCCTCAAATGTCGATCATACATTCGAGCTCTGGGCCTACCCGCAGTCCGGTCCGCTCTATACTAAAGAACGTCACTCCGAGGATTGCTAGGGATTGTTTTACAACACGAGCGAGCCTTGTGTATCCGCTAATCTAGATGTGACACGGGCGATCGGGTTCCGTCCTTCACAAGGCTAGCGTGCTGGTACGAAGTACAGATGTACTAACCCTACCTGGCACGGTTCTGGCTGCTCCGCACTCGCACAACCTTTTTGGGCATTAGTTCTAGATTTCCTCTCACTACAAGATTGGGTTTCGACATAGAGTGGAGAAGATAGAGTCGGAGTGCGCGAACAATGCAAGGTGGAAGACAGCATGTAGCAAAGAGAAGGTTGCAGACCAAGTCCAAAGACAGAAGGTCACACATCGAATTTTCAAGACGCTAGGTTAAAGGCACGAAACGAAGAAGCATAAGAAAGAGCAGATTCCTCGAAAGAAGGACGGCCATCAAAGCATCTTCGCATCGAATACAACCAACATGCAGCTTCTCAAGTTCTTTCTCCCGCTAGCCTTGAGCGCACCTTTCTCGGCGGCGCAACCACTCGATGAGAGAGCGATCTCTTCGAGCTGGGCTGGGGTCAACTCGTACTTCCTTCATGCCTACCAGAAGTATGCGCACCTCAGGAATTCTCGTGCATATACTCACCATCAACAGGACTGATCGTCTAGCTGTACTCGACGCGGTCAAAGATGCGAAACTCAAGACGCTGCGTATCTTCATCTCTCCCACGCCTCAAAACAACAAAGACACTGGCTCAGTCAACATGCCCGATATCGAGCCACAGCAGGTCGGCACATACGACGACACCCAGCTGAAGGCCATTGATCAGCTGATGGTCGAGGCGCATGACCGAGGTATCAAGCTCATCATCGCTATGCATGATCGCTATCAACTGGGCTGCTGGGGTAATGGTATGTTCCCTTCAAGATCGAACTGGAGTTGCCGGTGATACTAACGCGTGCGTGTCACAGATACATACGTGTCGAAGTACAAACTTCCTGCAATCGACTGCGCGAGGACGCCCGCCGCTCAGAACGACGTGACATTCTTCTACCAGGACGCATCGCCCATCTTCGACTTCGACAACCGCCTCACACACATTCTTCAACACAAGAACGCGTTGCTCTCGGGCTCACCGCAATGGAAGGATCTGTCAGACTATATCTTCTCGTTCAATATCCAGAACGAGGGACAGGGACATCTGCGCAACAACATTGCGCCTGCGCCAGAATGGTGGTGCAATCGAAGCAAGAAGATGCGAAGCATCATGGGCAGCAGCGCCATTCTTATCTCGACAGGTACGTAGTCTACATCCCCATTCGCACTGCTCTGTGCTCAGAGACAAGGATACTGACTTTTCATGTTTAGGCGGTGGAAACGAATTCCCCAACTCCGACATCCCCGAGAACTGGAGCTGCGCGACTCTCGATCTCGTCGACATCCACTCTTACAGCGGCGTATCCGATTGGCGCAACAAAGCGCCCATTGCACTGCAGCACGCCCAAGCCGCCAAGAAGCTCGTGCTGTTCGAGGAGTTCGGTGCGTCTGGTTCCAACAAGGCGAGCGTGGTGGGTCAGCATATCGACATCTTCAATGGTCTCAAGGTGCCGTGGATGATTTGGCAGATCAACAAGCCGGGTAAAGGTGCTGCGGACTTTGAGTTCTGGACGAATGAAGACACGTTTGGGGTTGTGAAGCAGGGGAGTGCTAAGGCTTTGGGTATTGCGGCGGCTCAGACGTTTCCCAACCTTGTATAAGTGCATGCATAGTGGGAGAGAGGCGGGTGGAGAGAGATTGCAGATAGCTTACACCGCTGCATGACAATTATGACTTCCGATAAATGTCGCCTGTACGCTTGATCTCGTCGTCGACATCATTGCCTCTACCTGCAGCTTCCAACTTCCTTACTAACGGCAATACTTCCTTGCCAAAGCGCTCTATGTCCTCCTCGTAGTGCAAGTGAGCAGTCAGCACCAAGTCCACGCCCAGACTCTTCAACAGCAATATCCGATCGGCAATCTGCTCTTTAGTACCGATCAACTTGGTCTTAAAGCCGTCATTGTACTGCACCAAATCTTCAAGCTTGCTATCCGCCCACATCCCCTTCTTGTTACCTGTACTGGCACCAGCCTGCTGTACTGCTTCTCGAAACGCCTCAACGGCCTCCGTGTCGGCTTTCCCTTGAATCTCTTTCAGCACGCGGATAGCTTCTTCTTCCGTCTCACGGATGATGACGAAGCCATTCACCGCGAATTTGACTTTGCCCTCACGCCCAGCTTTTCGCGCACGCTCTTTCACATCCTCGATCTGCTCGCGGAAGCCATCCAGATCGTTGCCGTTCATGAAGTACCAATCGCTGACTTCGGCGCCATTGTTCCGGGCGTCGTCGCTATTGCCGCCTTGGAAGATCTCCGGGTGCGGCTTCTGGAGTGGTTTGGGTGACAACTTGTAGTTCCGGAACTGATAGAAGTCGCCACCGAAAGTGAAGCCCTCGTCACCAGCAGTCCAGATGCCCTTGAGTGCGCGAATGAACTCGTTGGAGCGTCGATAGCGCTCGGCATGCTCGAGCCACCATTGCCCGATACTCTGGAATTCACTCTTGTTCCAGCCCGAGACGATGTTTACCGCAATGCGCCCGTTGGTGTAGTTGTCGATACTTGCGATCTGCTTTGCTGTGACGGTGGGGTTCCATGGCCCGGGAAGTATCGCAGCGATGAGCTTGATGCGCTCGGTGTTGTGCAACAGCGCCTGAGATAATGATACGCTTTCGTGCTGGTTGTCGGCTCCATACGATGCGGTGAAACGAATTTGGGTGAGCGCATACTCGAAGCCGTATGATTCGGCCGTCCGCGCGTATCGTACGTTGGATGCTAGGTCCCAACTCGTCCGTTGGGCTATTTTTGAGACAACGAGACCGCCTGAGACGTTCGGGACCCAATACCTACATTGCCGCAAAGTTAGTAGATGCAGCAAATGGCTGTCCTCGGGAGCCTGCTCACGCGAACAATAGGCGATCGGGATCTTGGTTCAGGTCCAGTTGCTTTGCGGGCGTGTAATCTTCCGCTGTCTTGTTCAGGTGTCCATTGACGCCATTCGTCGTGCCATTCTCTGCTGCTGCTGAACAACTTATCAGCCCCACACGTTCTTGATAGCCGTAGTCTCCGCATAACCTCACCTGTCTTTTGTCTCTTGCGCGGCGTCATGCTTGTTTGGAGGTATACAACAGAACGTAAGTTAGAAGACACGGAGGTATGTGAGTTGAGTACCCGTACTATGCTGCCCCGCAACATGGACTTGGGTTCGATTGCAGATCAGATATACGCATTATAAGCGTGGATTGCGTGATATGCAATCATCCCGAGAGCGGGATTTGTGGGATTGCCGTAGATTAAACCCGGTACGTAGACTTGTTGGTGTTCAGCTCTATTGCAGCCGACTTGCCGCCGATCTTGCCTAAGCCAGCTGGTCAACTTCTATATCGCAGCTCAACATCTCGGCTTCGCATATGACAAGATGTAGTGCATAATCTTGCGACAACTTTACGAGTCCGGCATCCTCAATTGGCTGCTTACAAGCTTCGGTCCATTGGTCGATGTGGCAATCCAACCCTCCGAAGACGTGATGTGCCGTAACTTGCAGCAAGATACTCAAGCACCGCATACCCCACACCAAGATCGCCCAGGGTAGCGAGCATCGACTACAACACTATGATATTTTCCCGACACGACCATGTGAACGCTACTGAGCAGTGAAAGTAACGCCGAAGCACGTAATTCGCTATCGCATGATCGCAATGGCAACGTACCGACACCGCCGTCGTCCCGCGTCGCGATGGTCTTTCTCAGCATGGGAGTTCATGACGATTCAGTACAAAAGCCTGTGGATCAAAGCCAGTCGCTTGCGTGAATGATTCCTTGCGCGCAGACAATCATGTGCAAATTCTCAACGACTGACTTGAACAGTAAAAGCAGCGCTGGCACGACCGATGTCGAGAAGCAACTCACTCATGAGTCCCCAGCCGTGCCAATCGCAGCTCCAAAGACTTTGGGTGCTGGAGTTAGTCATGATTCCAGTGCATTTTACACCGTTGCTAACGTATCAAGACGGCGCTTCCAATCGGAGTCTTCGCGACGACTCTGACCACGCTGTCGCTCAGTCTCATGGAATGGCGAGGAGTGACCACAAACAATGTCTTCGTCGCCAATTTCTTCTTTGCGGCGGCATTCGGCAAGTTACCGGAACGTACGATATATGTATGCTTTGGCTGACTGAGTACTAGGGCTGGTAGTTACTGCACAGTGGGAGCTCTCCGTCGGTAACGGTTTCGCTTATACGGTCTTCAGCGCTTTTGGTCTGTTCTACGCCGGCTTTGGTGCTATCTTGACTCCTGCCTTCGGGGTTGAGGCAGCATATGGAGGCGATGTGAAGCAATACAACAACGCTCTCGGGTTCTTCATGATCAGTGAGTTGCTCAAGACCGACAAGTGGTGAAATCGCAACTAATCGTGTGACAGTGTGGACTGTCTTCGCCTTGGTCTTTCTGGTAGCGTCCTTGCCGACCAACCTGGTCTACATCATCATCTTCTTTTGTGTCGAGCTAGGATTCTTACTAGTCTCGGCTTCTTATTTCGCCACGGCAGATGGACACCCGACCTCGTCCGTCGCTCTCAAGAAAGGCGGTGGTGCGTTCTGTTTCTTGGCTGGATTGACCGGGTGGTATCTGACGTTCGCGTTGCTGCTCAAAGACTCCATCGTTGAGCTACCACTCGGCGACACTTCCCGGATCTTCGCGAAGAGAAAGGCTGAATGAGCTACGAGCAACAGAAGGCTCGCATGCTAGTGACGGAAGGTGTCTCGGAGGTGCGCAGTCTGCTCGACATTGTGATGGGCCGTGAAAGTGCAGAGTTGGATGATGCGATTGAGGGGTTAGATGGCGAACGCGGTTCGCGTTCGGACGTGCGCACGGGTTGCAGACTAGTCTCGTTCTGGGTTAGCACAAATGGGATGATGCAGGTGCGGTCCGCCGACGCGTCTCACTCTCCAACACTCACATTCACATGTTGTACCGACACTGCATAGCCCCACGGTATCTCACTATCGCTAGCTTTACTCGCCTGCCAACAACGAACTCAACACTCACCATGTCGGCGATATATCCCTGTCTCCCCGGTGGTTCTCATCGCCATCGTAAACCTACTCATGTACTCATGTGCACCAATGCGAATGGCTCTAGAATGAACAAATAGCACGCAATATTCGGCGTAGTTCTCATCATCCGGAGACATCTTCTGCAGGGTCTAGATATAAGATCATGATCGAGATGTCGAGATGTCATCATTTTATCCATCCACACGATGGCCATGACGAATGGTACTAATAGCGAGTCCGGAAATGCGCAGCAAGTCGACTTTAGAGACCCGGCTGTCTATGCTGAGTATGAGACGAAGTGGTCTTCTATTCCGGAAGACGAAGCAGGCTGGCTCCAGCGTGCTCAAGATGTAGCCGATGTTCTCGCCGTTGATGCCGTCGTGCGAGATCAAGAGAACAAGTCTCCACGTGCGGAAGTTGCACTACTGAAGCACTCTGGATTACTGAAGCTCCTTGGTCCGAAGCAGTATGGTGGCGGTGGTCAGCCTTGGAGCGTGGGCTACAAGGCGATTCGGAAGGTCGCCGAAGCAGACGGGTAAGGTCTTCCCCTCCCCGTACGCATATGTATACTAACTGTCCTAGGTCAATCGGCATGCTCCTCGGCTACCACCTCCTCTGGTCAACCACAGCAAACATCGTTGGCTCACCCGAACAAGCCGATCGCTTCCAGAAGCTCATAATCTCGAACAACTACTTCATCGGCGGCGCGGTTAATCCCCGCGACAGCGACCTATCCATCAAGTCCGACGGCGACGGCCTCGTTTTCAACGGCTTCAAGTTCTTCAACACAGGCGGTGTTGTGTCTGATCTTACGGTTCTCGAGGGCGTATACGAAGGCACCGGGAATCACATCTTCGCCTTTGCCAAGACGGATCAACCCGGTATCCAATTTGGACATGATTGGAATAATATTGGTTTGCGCTTGACGGAGTCGGGCAGTGTGAAGATCTCCGATGTGCGCGTACCTTGGGCGGATGCACTGGGTTGGAACATCGAGAAGAAAGAACCAGATCCCCGTGCGCTGCAGATACCGTTTGCGACGCTGCTTCTGCCAACCATCCAGCTTGTCTTCAGTAACTTTTACCTCGGTATCGCGCTAGGTGCACAACAGTATGCAGCGAGGTACACATTGAAGGGAACTCGAGCATGGCCATTCGGTGGCGATGTAAGCACAGTCGCATCCACTAAACCAGTAACAATCGCTAACGCACAACTAGAACAAGGAGAAAGCCACAGACGAATTCTACATCCTCGAACGCTACGGCAACTTCCATGCCCACCTCCGCGCCGCATCCGCCCTGGCAGACCGCGCAGGCCAGGAAGTCGATGCCGTCCTCAATGAATATGCAGGCGATCTGGATACCCGAGGGAAGCTGACTGCGCGTGAGCGAGGGGAGCTGGCGGAATGGGTTGCGAGCGTCAAGGTCGTTACAACAGATACCAGCCTGCGGGTCACTTCCGGTGTGTTTGAGGTCACAGGCGCGAAAGCGACGAGTGCGAAAGTAGGCTTGGATCGGTTTTGGAGAGATGTTAGGACGCATACGCTGCATGATCCTGTCGCGTATAAGAATCGCGAGCTGGGGAGGTTTGAGTTGTTGGATGAGATCCCGGAGGCTACTTGGTATACTTGATTATACATCCCACCTTTAGCAGTACATCTCTTCCAGTCCTTCTCCGCATTCATGCCGTGCGCAGCGCTCCGAATCTCTTTTGTATGGCACTTGGAATAGAAACAAAGGAGAAGATTAAATATGTATTCCTCTCTGATTATATGCTCGCGCATTTGTTCAGTAGAACCAGAAGGCCGTAGGCTGTAAGTCGTCAGCCCCAGTGCCAAAGGTCTTTCGAGTTCATCATGACCTGATACCGACGCCAAAAATGACTCTTCTCTGGTTCCTGTCTAATGGCGTACAATGGATCATCGCGTAATTGCTGGAGGAACTGCTGTGTGATGTGCTTGCGCTGTTCACTTCCCTCTTTACCCCACTCGGCGCGCATCTCGATCAATCTCTCTTTTTGTATCTCTCGCATGCGATTCAAACGTGCGTTATGTTCTGCAAATGCTTTCTGAAGCGTCGCGCATGGAGGCGGGGATAATGTAACTTTGTCATGTAGTTCGTCGTTGGTTGATACGTAGTGCAACGTCCATTGGCCCGGTTCCTCGAATTGTAGACCACATCCAGTCACTGGACATATACAAGGAGATTTAAGAGTGTGCAGATAGTATGCTTCCGTTGCTTGGATGAGGAGAAGTTTTCGCGCATGATACATGTAGTCGTAGGGCTCAGTCTCGTCGTGCATCCAACGCCACCATTTACCTGCGGGTCCCGATCGTTCCTGAAATGGTGGAATTACGAGACGCAGTGTATCCAAGGGCTCGATCAGCTCCCACGCTACTGGCTTATCGGTAGACTTGATCGCCTGCAAACGCTTCCTCGACCTGGGACGCTTCTGACCATTATGATCAACACAAAAGTTCGACGCGTGTACATGAATCCCATTCGGACATGCTTCTGCCAGCTGCGTGAGAAATCTGGGAGTCTCTGTGCCGGGTTCGAGAATATAGTTTGTATGAAGCACGACGCTCACGACATGGGGACACCACTCGCGCAGCACCTGCCAGAATGCAGCTATCTGGTACTCTGCGTAGAGTCTCGCTTCATCCTCATCTGAGAACTTGATATGATGCGTTATGAGATCCACCCAATCATCGTAAAGAGTCTTGTTCGCACCCGAAAGCTCGATGAGGACGTATTGCATGTGCTTGTGAGCCTCGAGAGCGGCATGTGTAAGGCCCGTATATCCGCCAGAAAGTAACCAAGAGCCGCGTATGCGATACTCGACGGTAGGATCAGACCAGAAAGTTTTGGCGGCTTCTTCGCGCGTAGCAGGTGATGCACGCATAAGCTGGAAGAGCGTTGCGTTGTCGCAGAACGATATGATGTGGTGCTGAAGCTCCAATGGCAGGCGTGGAAAGTGTCTGAAACCGTCGAGCAAGGAAGACTTCATTCTTTCTCCTGGACGAACATGGTGTCGGAAAGGTACGCGTATCTCGCCCTGGGGTGTCGCGCATAGGTCCCAATTCAAGGACGTGGTCCACGGGCCCTTGGGTACAATAGTGGGTCGGGTTCTTCTAGTGGGCATGCTGAGTAGATAGATTCGGAGAGCAGTCTGGATTAACGTGATTTGCTTTTCTTCGTCGATAATGTGTAATAGTGGCGGTATCTCGCGATGGCGTTCTTGTTATGATGGATTGTTGCCTACACTAACCCGTCTGCAAGCGTTTTAGTGTCTGGACACTAGTGCACTACCACCGCCCAGGTCCGCCCAGGTGGGCCCGAATGTTTGCCCGCTCATCTAATAGGACGGCGATAGTCTAATTGAGCGACAGTTTCAAGAGCACAGAGAAGTTGAAGAAGGGTTTTGGTGGTCTCGCCGAGCATATGCAGGAAATACATCCTGTACCGCAACAGCCTCGGAAACTCTGCCGTGTCCATTACGACAGGTCATTTACTTATCTCGAGTTCTATCATGACGGAGCCCAAGAGAGCGAGAGAGACGTTTAGAGTACCAAGACCGCTGCTACAACCTTCCTCTCCTCCTCCTCGAAACCCCCTCCCCTCCCACTCCCCCACCTAGTCACGCCCCCTTCCCACCCACCAAATTCCTCCTCAGCGCCTCCAACTCCTTATCCCCAAGCCCACAATACTCCCTCATATACCGTTCCGCGCCGCCAAACCGCACATCCAACATATCCAAACTCGCCAGCATACTCTCCTTCCTCGACCCCACCATGCGCAACGCAGCCTGCCTGCCCTTTTCCAAGACTTCCGGCGGAAATTCTGACGTATCAGAACCCTCGCTATCCCTTCCTTGGATGATCTGTGCCATCTCCTCCTTCGATAGAGGTCTTCCGGTTGATTGCGCAAGCATATACTTCCTGAAGCCGGGACTCGTCAACAACCGCTCCACAATCTCGTCCCGTGCAGGACGGAGGCCCAGTTCAGTGAGTTGGTACTCCTCGGCGATCTGCTCGCGCGGGACACCGAGGAAATCGAAGAGGAGACCGAAGAAGATTCCCGTTCGGTCTTTGCCGGCTGTGCAGTGGATTAGTGCACCGAGTTTCTGTCCTTCTTTCCCCTCGCCATCACTACTCAGGCTGGCCAGATACCGCAAAATAGTCCCATAAGCCCCCCCTCCATCCGTCAAAATACTAGCATAAGCCTCCACAAACCCCTTGACATCCTCATCCATGTAATTCGCATACCGCTCCGCCTGCAGAGGTAGAGGTACGAAGGTCAGTATATGTCTCACATCTCACATGCACTTCGTAACAGTCAGAACTTACCAACCTCTCAGGACTATAATCCCTCTCCTCAAACACCGGTGTCCAGCTCCTCTTCACACCCGCCTCCTCCATCGCCTGGATCCATCCCGGCCTAAAGTCTCCCTCTCCCTTACCCTTACCCTTTCCATTTACATCATCTCCAACAATACCAGCCCAGCCTTTTTCTACTTCGGGTAAGCTGCGCAGGTCGAAGACGTGGGCTACGCCGATGTCGCGGACGGCGGTCCAGCCGGCGGTGTCTAACTTGGCGACTTCGGCGCTGCGGAAGAGGATGCCTGGGCGGAGGGTGGCGCCGGATGCGGTGGTGAGGGAGTAAGTGGCGAGGCGCAGGTTGTTGATGTTGGGGATGTGGGTGTAGAAGGGTGGGGTGGGGAGGGTGGGGATGTCTGGGGGTGGCATGGTGGTGTGGGAGTGATGTAGCGGTGATACGGCAGTAATGTGTATGTGTATGTAGCCGATTTAATGATGGGATTCCGCTGTTACCAAAGTGGACTTCGTCGAGGTTATGTAGAGGTCGACGGATTATTCGGTGTGAACAGCTGGTACTGTGAACGGTTTTAGTCGAAGGATTTGAAGTGCGATATGTCAACGGCACAGCTGCTAATGCAAGGGGGAGCCTTCACAACACGTGTTCGGTTTGACTTTTGGTTGGTACCTGGGTAGTCGGAACAACGTTCGTGGTGTGTAAACATTAGCCCCACCATCCCACTCACACTAGCCATGTGCCGAGGTGTAGAGTGGGAAGACTGCACATGCCCTGGTGTTAACCACGCCGCGTAATCAAGCATCATCCGGACTTCACGCCTTGCCATCCAACATGTTCAAGAAAACAATCTAACTTCGATTTCTGGGGTATACATATGATCATCAACCGCAAGACGGAACCACACATCTCACCAAGCCAAATGGTGGTATATTCCCTCGAAACCTATACACCCGTTTCCACAAAAGATGGAAACCGAAACGAATAAAACCCAGGACTATATATGTAGTCTATGACGCCACAGACGCCCGCGAGACTTTTCGTAACGCACGGAAAATATCATCAACAACCGTTGTGGTCGTGACCACAAAAAGCCTACGAAGGCTTATCACAACCAATGCGACCGAGTAGCTCCTTGCGATCGCCATGGCCGGGAATACTAATCCCACTTGCGCGCGAGCTTTCCCTCTTTGCTTGTCGGCGCTGGCTGGCGCCGTTGAGACGCGCAAAGGTGAGGGCATCGACGCCGACTTCCTCTTCCTTGGGCGTCATGGAGCTCATTCCGCTCTCGCCGCAGGTGGTTGCCATGTTAAAGATGGTCTTGGTCTGTTCCTGCTCGACCTCCTCGTCCTCGCCCTCGTCATCTGAGCGCAGATCCTCGGCTGCGTTGCCCATGAGCACTTTGTAGACGATCTTTGCAATGGTGGCGAACCAGATGCAGCAGAAGACTTGGAGGGTGAGGAGGAGCGCGAGGAAGTAGTATCGGATTTGCGGGTTCCAGCAAATGGGTCCGTTGCGGTCGTTGTACGCCTTGAGTAGGTTGCCCCAGTGGTTGTTACCGCCGTATGCTTCGAATTGTGAGGTGTTGGATGCGGGGACGAAGGAGGTGTACTTCGAGGTGGAGTCGGCGAGGTAGCAGCCGGGTGCCATGTCGACGGGGGCGTAGGCGTAGATAGACCAGCAGACCATCATGTAGAGAATGTGACGCGTAACGACCCAGGCGATGACGAAGAGACCGAACGCGTAGTCGCAGGCATTCGAGTAGCCCATATACTTGAGGAGTTTCGCAGTCTGTGATAGTCAGTTCCTAGATACTCATCTGGTGAGTCAAGACTGCTTACCGGCAGGATGATGTCGACAAAGTCCATGATGGTCAGAATGACGATACCGACGCGCATGTGGAAGTAGCCGTAGGACAAGCACATCAGCGCGGTGGTGAAGATGTGGTGGGTGAACATCTGCGCGTAGTCCTTGCGCTTCTCCTCAATGTTGACGACAAGAAGCTGCTGGACCCAGAAACCCCATTGGACAAGGTAGTACCACTTGAAAAGGCCGTCAGCCTCACGGAAAGGCCAGCCTTCCCAGATGCCGTGCAAGTCTAGCCAGAACTCGGAGTGGTACATGATGTACTGTAGCCTTGTTAGCACTGCCATTCCGTATGTTCTGTGTTGCGTGACGTACCATTCCCAAGGACCACGACGCGGTGTAGTAAACAATCAACCAGGCCTGCTCCTTGAACCTGTCCAGGCCCTTCTTTGTCCTGATGCCGCCCAGCCTTGCCAGCGGGTCGAGCAAGTATTCCATGACTGCGACGCGTACACCAGTGAAGATGACGGTCCACAGTAGGACAAAGGGCAGATCGTCGGTGCCACAGCCGTACATGTTGGTGTCGGGGTTGTAGTACGACATGTGGAAGAACTTGTTGGTCCGGCTTCGGGCGCGGGGAAAGAATGTGTGGGTGAGGACGAGGAGGGTGAGGAGATTGACGGAGATGCCTGTGGGAGTCAGTCTTGGTGGTGCTCAGTTTGTTGAGAGTCTGCGAGAGCATACCAATCTGGTGGTCGCAGATGAGGGTGCACAGCGAGGCCATGAGCCCCTCATCCTCGACCTTCTTTGCCTGCATCTTCCGCCTCTTGGGCGCAGTCGGTGGCTTTTGCGCTTGCATGTCCGCCGTGTGTGTCTTTCCCAGCGCGCCGTTGGCGTTGTGTGTCGTCGCCATGGTGGCTGGTTGCAATATGCCCCAATGTGGGGAGCGAGAGAGTGATGGAGCGACGCTGTCGCGATACCCGCTGTCTCGAGGCGGTCCGATAGAGGAGCCAATGGCAGAGGAATGAATTCCAGAGAGTGCTTGCAGCCCGGCGACGGTTTCCGGTGTCGGTTGCCGGCGTGTAGTGCGGCGTGTGGGCTCGATGGGGGTCGTTGGTTGTCGCTCAACAGTCACGTCTTAGCGAACGGATTGGGGTGCGTGTCTCAGCAACCAACAGCCATTGAGCAGCGAAACGGGCGAAAGAATGGGCGCGGTAGGCTGTCGATGCGTAGGCGAGGTTTCGGCGGGGGAGAGCACGATGCGCCCGGGCAGAGCAGAGTCGAGGGAGCGGTGTGGTGGTCCCAAGCAAAGATATTCAGGGTTTAGAGATGGATGGGGCAAGCGCGGATCAACAATCTCCTGAGCGGGCCACGCGAATTGCACCTTTGCCTGCGTGCCAGCTGCGAGTCTGGGTGAAGGATGGCACAGGCGTGTCCAATTGCTCTCCCTGTATTTCTGGACAGGTGTCGCGGGAGCTAGCAGTATTCGCTGTAGCAAGACAAGTGTCTGGAGCGCGCTACGAATCTGCCCACTTCAAAAATGGGGCCTCGCCTAACCCGACTGCAGCATGCGCCTAGGGGTGTAACGCGAACAAAGGCAGGCAGTGTTGCATCGAGCGTAAGGAGGTGGCAAGCCTGCGTGGAAGTTCAGTCTCGTCCTCGTCTGCCCCTAAGACGGCCCTGCACCCGTTATCGTCGAGTTCCTGCGAGGGTCGGTTTGCCAAGACATCCGCCGACGAAGCTTGGTGCTCCGAAAATCAAGGGTCCGGGCGTTTCACCCTCCCGACCTATCAACGCGCCCACGCTCCCTGCAGCCCCATAGTGCTACCCCGCCATAGCCTGACCTGATATGCATGCATAGCTATTGGATACGGCATGCAATAGAATGGTCGCCTCTATTCCATCATGAGACGGAAAAATTGTCTTCAGCATACAAACACCGATTCTCTGGTAATTGCTTGGGGTACGAGGAGAAGTGTGAAAGTGGTATTATACAACTAAAGCTAAGTAACATAGAGTACGATAATCCACACCCAGCTCCTTGGCCCACACGTCCCAGCATAGTGATATCGATACCCATAACGCCGTACAATTTCTCCCAAGTGAATCTAAGCTCTTGCTACACTCCCCCCGCCTAGTTGTTGTTCTGCGAGTTGAGGATCCTCAGGATGGCGAGGAACAGGTTGATGATGTCGAGGTAGAGCGAGATGGACGCCGCAATCTCCTCCTCGACATGGTAGTGGCGCATGATCATCTGTGTGTCCACCAGAATGTAGCCAGAGAAGATGAGCGCGCACACGACGCCGTATCCTAGCTCGACCGAGCTGCTGTGGGGGAAGAACATGGACATGAAGCCGAACAGGACCACCACCCATAGCGCGCCGAAAAGGTACGGTGCCCAGTGCGTGAAGTCGTACTTGCTCTGGCAAGCGAACAGGCTCAGCGCAATGAATATGCCCAGTGTGAAGAAGAGCGCCTGCAGCACAATCCTGGAGTCGGTGAAGGAGACGATGACGGAGATGGAGTATGCTTCCATGGCGGTGAAGCCGGCAAGGAACAAGAGGTTGGTCGGGTACGACTTGCGCTTCCAGAAGGTAAGGCCGAGAAAGACGAAGGAGCCGATGAGCGACACCCACATGAGCGCGGGCGTTTGTTGGATGAAGTTCTTGTACGATTCCGACATCATCGAGAGGGCGCTGACGGCGGCGGTTGCGAGGAGTTGGACGGTCCTGCAGAGAGTCAGTATGCGCGACATTCGCCTTGAGCCATGGGCACTTACAAGATGGCGTAGACCTTGCGGATAAAGGCCATCCGGATATCCAGCGTCGCCTCTGCCACAACACCGCCAAACTTGAAGTCATCGGGCAGGTTGTCGTTTTCGCCGCGGGGGACGCCGCTGAGGAGGGCTTCTTGGGGGTCGTTGGCCGCCTGGTAGCTGGGTGGCGCCTGCGAATAGGACGGCGCGGGTGCCGCCTCGTCGAGCGAGTCGCGCTGAGGCACATTCTGATATTTGGGTGCACCCATCGTGATGGATTTGTCGCAAAGGTTGGCTGCGTGCGATGCGAAAGCGGGGGTTTAGATGCGCGTTGGTGGAGGTGGAAGGATGAAGGTTAGGTGAGATGCGTTAGGGCTGTGCTGACTTGATGAGGTCACAGCCGCGGAACTTCGTTTCACGTGCCCGTGTCACGATCAACTCGCAACTTCCAGCTTCTTCCACCCCGCCCGATAACCTCGAACCACCGTGAATGTCTCGCACTCACAATGATGAACCTTGGCGACGATGCACCTAGCCCCGTGGAGTAAGGCACACTGATCCGTTGTTTTTCCAGATGTCTATCCGCATAGCCTCAGCCGCACCTGGCTCAGATGCATGCTGCAAAACCACTACCAATGAGATGATCTCAATACGGTCGGGCAACCACACTGGGGGCCATTTCCGAGACCGCCACCACTATTGAGGCGTCAGCCTCGTCGCGGTGCAGCAATTCCATAATACGCATGCCCGCCCCACGCAAGGCCCTCAGTCCTGTCAGCCTACTTGATATTGTCAGATCATTTGAAAGTCCGCCCAAGTGCAAATGGCTAGTGACTCCCGAAATTCTTCGCAGGTACCTCTGCTGCCGCCTTTGGCTGTAGACGATGAGCGCTTCAGCGACACTCTGCCGTCTTCCATGCTGCAGCACCGCGTCCGTACAGAGTCACCTCCGCCACTCGAATCCAGGGAAAGCGAGTCTGTTGATTTAAAGCATGTTGGCATGTCATACTTCAAGTACGAGTCTGCTCGCAATACTATACTGTCGATGCTGATGGTCTATCAGCGGCGCTTTCAACACTGGTATCACTGTTCACAGTGGCGGCAATATTACCATTGATGGCGAAACTCCGAAGCCTAGGTCGCTCCTTTCACTGCCACGATGGTTGAAGAAGCTTCCAGGCACTCTCGATGCCAGGCTGACACGGTGGATTCGGGGCAGTCGCTTCCATGGGTGGCGGATGGGTGTCTTGCTTGGATGCTGCATGTCTTCCTTCGTCCTCTGCTGCAATATTGCCATGATCGTCGTCGCAGCCACCAGTAAAACTGGCGACAATGTCGGAGGGATAGCTAACCTGAAGATTGGTGATGAAGCTGTCATCTCGCAATGGAATACCGCATTGCACGTGCTGATCAACGCACTCAGCACGATGTTGCTCGCTGGCTCGAACTACACTATGCAGGTTCTGAGTTCACCAACCAGGCAAGATGTTGATGCCGCGCATGCTCGTGGACAGTGGCTCGATATCGGCGTTCTCAGTCCTCGCAATCTCAGGCTGATCCCTCGGAAACGTGCTGCGCTTTGGTACACGTTAGCGCTATCCTCCGTACCTCTACATTTATTGTATGCAACGCTCACCCAAGAAATGATGCATGGACTGACGCACTCCAGTTACAATGCCTCGATCTTCAAAGTCGTCACGTCAAGCGAATATCAAATATTTACTGTAGACGTCGCGTCAGACGAATGGAATCGTATCAATTCCACTACTGACGTGGGAAAATCGACCAACGGCTCATACTCGAATCTCGGCGGCGGAAAATGGACAACCGTGTACGACAACGAGTATATATCGGTACATGGCGATCTGTATCTTGCGATAGACCGGGTAGCCTTTGATACCACACAAGCTGCCATAAATCCAGAGGCGATCAACATCACATCAACATACCTGGACTACAACGTCACTGGAAATCAAAGAACCTTACGGGATCTCACGTCGGAGTCGGCATCATGGATAAGGTTTCGATCTCAGCCAGAGCTCACGATACAGGGGATGAGCATTTCAGCTCATGTAGTGCAAGCCGCAGGGGAGAAGAGGAAGAGCCCACCCAGTAGAGTTCAAGTGAGCTTGTACTTCTTGATCATCGTCGCAGTCTTCAACCTACTCAAGCTCAGCGTCATGGCCTATGTTCTCATTACCGACCGTTCGGCATATCTAGTCACTTTGGGGGATGCCGCAGCCTCATTTCTAGAGCATCCCGATCCGCATACTACGGGGATATGTGCGCTCGGTCGAGAAGAGCTACTCATCACCCTAGGTCATCCGTCTAAGCGACCATTTTCCACCCCCGAAGAAAAATTAAACCTAGATTCGCGCGTGAAGGGTACATGGCTATCAAAGTCACAGTCATACTTCGCTCCTGTCCATCGCTCAGCAAAGGTGCTATATAGCTTCTTGTACGCGACTCCCTTCTACCTTTATATCGGCACTAATCCACTAGGTTGCTTTTCGTCGTCATCACATTGGCGTTGGGTCCACTGTACACATCAAGTGGTCATTGGGGCTGGGGGATCGGATCTGACGACAACGTCCCCTTTGGATCTGATGGGACCACAGCTGCCGCTACCTTGTGGAACGCCTGGCTTGCCAACGTGCCGCAACTGATACTATCCTTCTTTTACCTTTCGGTCAACATGATCTGCACTGCTATGTCCGGAGCCAACGAATGGAACCATCTAGCAAAGTCCAAAAAGGGTTTGAGGGTCACTAAACCTTTCGGCGATCAGCGAAGCACCTACTTCCTCCAACTACCCTACAGATGGAGCCTTCCACTCATCATCACCAGTGGAACGCTTCATTGGCTGTTGTCGCAAACCTTCTTTCTTGTGCGTGCTGACTTCTTTGATCGCTACGGGGTGATGCTCGAAGGCGCCACGAAGTCCGCATGTGGATTCTCTGCACTCAGTCTATATGTATTGCTATTTGCTGCACTTTCGCTACTTGGAGTCGTATTCTTCATTGGAGTCAAGAGAATGTCGGTCAAGGTGCCGACCGCGGGATCTTGCAGTCTCGTCATAAGCGCCGCTTGCCACCCATCGCCTACGGAAGTCGACGTCCACCTGGCTAAAGTTCAGTGGGGTGTTGCTCAGTACCAGC